AATTAAGAAAAAGCAACAGGAAATAGTGAAACGTGAGCGAGGTTTGTTTACGTGTCCTGCAACGTGGGGTTAAGCAAGCTGGAATCACATTTGAGGATCTTTGCCGGCATCCTGGGGGAGTTTCAGCTCTTTTAATAATTGCTCATCAAGATTTGAAGTGTTGCTGAGGGCCTCACCGCCAAGATGAATCCGAGTGGCCAAAATTATCAAATGGCCTCGCTGTACGTCGGGGACTTGCACCCCGACGTTACTGAGGCCATGTTGTTTGAGAAGTTTTCCTCTGCTGGACCGGTGCTTTCCATTCGTGTCTGTCGTGACATGATCACCCGTCGATCCCTGGGTTACGCCTATGTGAATTTTCAACAACCGGCCGACGGTAAGTTAGGCCCCAGCCATGTGCTTTACTGGTACCCTAACCTCACTTCCTTCAGGTGGTTTCTTAACCGCCATTTTCAGTGATGCGTCCCACCGGTCGTTTTTCTATATCAGGCGTGGTAGTGTATTTGCATTAAATTTGTTGATTTCTGTTGCAGCTGAGCGAGCCCTGGATACCATGAACTTCGATGTACTGAAGGGCAGACCCATCCGTATCATGTGGTCTCAACGAGATCCGTCTCTGCGTAAGTCTGGCGTTGGAAATGTCTTTATCAAGAACCTTGACAAGAGTATTGACAACAAGGCCATGTACGATACCTTTTCTGCTTTTGGTAACATCTTGAGCTGTCGAGTAAGTTCTTAAATCAAGTAACTTCTGTTTTCTGCGATACATACTCCTAAGACTGTTGCTTCCAATGTGCACTCACTGTCCAGGTTGCCCAAGACGAGACTGGTGCCTCCAAAGGCTATGGTTTTGTTCACTTTGAGACTGAGGAAGCCGCTAATAAATCTATTGACAAGGTCAACGGAATGTTGCTGAACGGCAAGAAGGTATGGATTGCTAATAAATATATATCCCTTATAGATATCCCTTTTATCTCCTTGATTCTCTCAAATAAAATATTCAATGGCTTTCAAAGTCAAAAATATTTTCTGTCATTAGAGTTTAAGTTACATTCAGTTCATTGAAAACTTTTCTGCTTTTGAAATCACGCAATCTTTTAATTACTTAGTTGACTTTCATGCCCATTAAGTGCCGAAAGATTGCCACAGTAATTTTCTAGCAAGTGATATTCGCCTTTAATGAGCATTTATGAAGGCTATTCATGAGCTGTGTACAGGTTTCCCGATTTCAGTTGTTCCTGATATAATTCCTTTGAAGCATCTCTAAAACTGACAACTGTCTGTTCTTGTCCCAGGTCTTCGTTGGCAAGTTCATCCCCCGCAAGGAGCGCGAAAAGGAATTGGGCGAGAAGGCCAAGCTGTACACCAATGTGTACATCAAGAACTTCCCTGAAGATTTCTCAGAGGAAGCCCTGAAAGACATGTTTGAGAAGTATGGAGTTATTACTAGCCACAAAGTCATGAGCCGCGATGATGGTAAATCTCGTGGCTTTGGATTTGTTGCCTTTGAAGATCCTGAAAGTGCTGAGAGAGCTGTTGATGAACTCAATGGAAAAGACATGGATGGCAAGGTTTGTTGACATATCTTCATTGGAACTGAAATGTCACCTAACTTAAATTTACCATCTGTAACTTACTGTTTGTTTTCCAGCCTCTCTTTGTTGGCCGCGCACAGAAGAAAATGGAGAGACAAACCGAACTGAAACGCAAGTTCGAGCAACTGAAGATTGAAAGGCTCAACCGCTACCAGGGTGTGAATTTGTATGTGAAGAACCTTGACGACACCATTGATGATGACAGACTTCGCAAGGAATTTGCGCCATTTGGAACAATTACCAGTGCCAAGGTACTTGGCACTAATGTCCCAAACTTGATTGTTTACCTGTTTACTTTTGCAATTTTCTCATAATATCTTTGCTCACCAGGTCATGCTGGAGGAGGGGCGTTCCAAGGGATTCGGGTTTGTGTGTTTCTCCTCACCTGAGGAGGCAACCAAGGCTGTGACTGAGATGAATGGTCGTATTCTGGTGACCAAGCCCCTCTATGTGGCTCTTGCCCAAAGGAAAGAGGACCGCAAGGCTCATTTGGCTTCCCAGTACATGCAGCGCGTTGCCAACATGCGCATCCAGCAGATGGGTCAGCAAATCTTCCAGCCCAGCGGTGCGGGCGGTTATTTCGTACCTACCATCCCTCAACCTCAACGCTTCTACGGCCCGGCCCAGATGCCCATGCGCCCTCAACCCCGCTGGACCACCCAACCTCAAGTCCGCCCCAATGCCCAAGCCCAACAAGCAGGTGAGAGATCTAACCACCCTGCTTATTTTCATCAGGGCATTTTAAGGCAACTGTGTAGAGCGTTTGTTCATCTTTTGATTAATCTGTTGAGTCTCCGTGTCTGTATGGTGCCTCTTAAATTTGTTGAACTTTCTGCTGAGCTGTTATCTTGCTTGCAGCCTTCCCCAACATGCCTGGCCCTTACCGCGGCGGCCCCCGCCCTCCAAGTGCTCAACCCGGACCCGGCGGCATGGGCCGAGCTATGTCTGCCCGACCCATCACCAACCAGCAGGCGGCCGGCATGGCCCAGGGTGCCCGCGGCCCCATGGGATCCGCCCCCGCTGTTGTGCCCCAGTCGGCCCAACAGGCCCCCGCCCAAGCTGCGCAGGCTGCTCAGCGCGCCGGCCAGTTCAAGTACACCGCCAACGTGCGTAACCCTGCCCAACCTGGCATGGGCCCTCAGCAAGGTGCCGCCCAGCAGGCTGTGCACATCCAGGGCCAGGAGCCTCTGACCGCCACCATGTTGGCTGTGGCCAATCCCGACGACCAGAAGCAGATGCTTGGAGAGCGTCTCTTCCCACTCATTCAGGTATGGACGCGATTGCTGCAATGCTATGCAATTTAACGCAATTTTTAATTACTTAGTTGATTGTTCAGTCTTCTAAGTGCCGAAAAGTTGCCAAATTAAATTTTAAGCAAGTGGCTTGTCTAGCGTGTATAACTTGTGCTGACTTTCCACTAGCTTTATACAGTGCATATCAGTCATCCCCACTCAATACTATGCACCTTCTTTGAAGCCTAGAAATTTTTTCTCCTGTTTTGGGTGCATACTTTGTGCATTCGAGCTCCTAAATATTGAAATGAAATAACTGTTCAAATTATTGTATTAAATTCATTCTGGGCACAAATGTTTAATTAATTGAATTTTCTGTTCCTTCAGCGCATGTATCCTGACTTAGCTGGCAAAATCACTGGAATGTTGCTGGAAATTGATAACTCAGAGCTACTTCACATGCTGGAGCACCATGAATCCCTGAAGGCCAAGGCAAGTATTTTGCTGAATGCAATATTCAATTTATATCTCCTGTATGTACGGTAATCAATCTCATTTCTTAGCTTAACTTCCATTTTATAATTCGGATTCTATTCTGTCATAGGTTGAAGAAGCAGTTGCTGTCCTTCAGGCTCACCAGGCCAAACAGGCTATCAAGAAAGATTAAAAGAAACAATACAGCAAAACAAGTTAAAAAAAAAAAAAATGATCTACAACCCTACCTGGCATCCACAACTCATTTTCGGTTTCTGCACATTATTTTATTTTTCATTCAGATGGTTTGATGACATCATGTGGTCCTTTTTTCTGAGGTTTCTTTAAATTCAGGATGTGAGCATCTGTATGTGTTTTTTGTATGAATGTGTGTGATCGTTTTATATGACGGAGTCATTTGACGGCAATTATTCTTTGATGTATGTATTGTTGGTGTGAATGTCGCATGTACGCATTTTGCATATGCACAAATGGAATGGTGTGGAATTTATTCCTACCAGTGAAAAATGCACTTCAACATGTCTTCTTCCCAAACTTTGTGTAGAGACTCTAATCAAAAAGAAAGCTTGTGTGCGTTAAATTTATTTTTGTTTTGGAGAAATATGTTCATTGTTTTGTGGAACCTGGACTTTTGGTATCTGAGGAGAGGCAGATATGACGTGTATTGTAAGATGCCCTAAGATACGTGGCGATTCTCTGCATATTGCATTCGGAGTTTTTTAATGTGTATTGCTATTAAATGACTTTCATGAATATTCTCTAGTTTCTATCATCCCTTTTAATTTTAAAGTTTTGGCGCCATTTAATGTGCAATGATCACATAGTGCCTGTGATGCCCATGAGCCATTAATGTGAAAGGGTGTTTGTCAGTCTACACAACATGCATATTTTCGGTTCTTTAATATAAAAAATGAGTATAAAATCAATTAGGTTCTAGTTCTAGGTACAAAATCGTAAAAAAAGTGTTTTCTTCAGGCTTGAATACTATGAAGAGAAGATCGATGCTATGGCAAACTGGACTGCCATGACCCAGAAAAACACAGGCTGGAGCTTACATGAATTGGAGCCGGCTCTGAACAGAAAAAGAGAAGAATTACAAATGTGACAAGCTGCAGGGTGATGTCTATAGTAAATCAAAGATTTTTATTTACTGCGGTATTTGCACTCTACTATGTTCAAATGCCTTGTGGCTGTGTTAAAGGACCCGGGGAAGTGGGATAAACCAAAACGACAACATGGCTAGGACAGCGCTTGCTTTTACTCACTCTCCACATCTTTTTAGTGTTGGGGAGAATGAGTGGTGTGTAATCAAGAGGCTTATTTTCATCTCAGTACCCACATCACTTACAGACATGGTAGTAATGTTTGTGTATTGGAGGTTCTGAACAGATCCCGGTTTGTTGAGCGTGGGCAATTGAAAACGAAATAAAAGGCGGCTAGAAGCTGCATCATTGTCCATCGCGCCGTGGGCGGTGCAAAAGTGAGGTATTCCCCCTTGAGACCGGAACGCCATCTTTTCAATAGCATGTTGCTTGCAAGGTGATACGGATGCTTTACTTAGTAGATGATACGAAAATTTGGTTGAATTTCGTCTACGATCAACAGTTTGGGAAATATGGCAGGTGGAAAGTACGCCCCACCGCCAATTATTTTTTTACCCGCACCCTCGCACTCTAAGTTATGCAAGCGAAGCTGACACGGAAAAGATTTGATACTGCACTGACAACGGTACCTTTGCTTTTCTTAGGGATCGTCCAGTTAGTACGTCCGTTTTTCTCAGATTCATTCGGTAAATGGGTAAGTGACGGGAGCTCGGCGCCTGCAAGACTCATGGCAGGCCACCCCGCATGACACGTATGCATTGCAGGCAATGTGTGGCCTACCTGTCAGGCGCTAAGAGTGCTTGCATTGTCGTTCCTTACGGCAAATGCCGGACGCACTTTGCAGATAATCCCACTACCCACTACACTAAGGGCGATACTTGTAGTGAAAGAACGAGTTCATTCCTTACTTTTGTGTTCTACGTATCCCTTGTTTTTTTATTACGTCAATTTTTTGATGGCGTCGTTTTAGGTGTGATTCCGTACCTATTGTTGGTGCTCGCAGCACCGACCGCGTTGACGGCGTAGGGCACATTGGTGAGGCCCTTCGTGCCCAGGCCGGTGATGGCAAACATGCTGCCGGCCAGGGGCTCGCGCTCCAGCTGGCGCGCGTCCATCTTGTAGCGCGCGCTGGTCACGTAAAGAACGTCCCGGTCCCGGCCACCCCACTCGGCAGCCGACGGGTTCGTCACGTTCATGACGATCGTCTGGAGGAGCGCGCCGGACCTCGGGTCTACCTTAATCACTCGGCCGCCATGGACGCACGCTATCCACAGGTTGCCGTCCTTGTCCAGGGTCATGCCGTCGGGCGCCCCGGGGACGTCGTGGGCGGCGAAGCTGAACGCCGTTTTCTTGTTGGACACGACGCCCTGGTCGGCGTCGAAGTCGAAGCTGTAAACGGCCTTGGTGGCGGAGTCGGCCAGGTAATAGGTCTTGTCGTCAGGCGTCCACGCCATGCCGTTGGGGATCTGCAGCCCCTCCTCCACGACCGTCTTGGTGTCCACGTGTGAGCTCGCGCTCCGGCCCTCGATGTCGCGCTTCAGATCGAACCGGAACAGCTCGCCCTTGTTGACGCCGCGCCGCCGCCGGCGCGAGGTCTGGCTGTCGTCCATGGTGCCTGTGTGGGCACGGCGAAAGAGTCGCGTAGTGTGATGGTCACGGGTGGCCAGACCAGAGGTCCCCTCCCCCGGCCACGGGTCTTACCTATCCACAACCTGCCCCGACTGTCCGCCTTGCCGTCGTTGAAGCGGTTGCCCGGGAGGTCAGGCTCGACCTCCTTCAGGTTTCGGACGCTCCTGACGACAGCAGCCTTCCCCGGGGCGCCCCAGTCCACGTCGACGAGGAAGACGCAGCGACCCACGCCCACCAGGATGTCGTCAGACCCTCTGACGGGTACGGCGGGGGTCACTTTTCCGGGCTGGTTGCCTGTCAACCAAAGATCGGTGATGAGGTTGCCGATGCAGATGATTCCTTCCTCACTGGAAATCTTTCAGCTCTAGCCGCGACGTAAGTTGATATGGCACTACTTTCAACTTGTACGAACTGTGCATTAACCGGCATTACACATGTTCAGTACGGCGGCTGTACATTGTGCGCTCTATGGGTTGGAGAAACCGACAAAGCATGACCACATTGTGGTCGCACCACACTGAATGTGTCAATTTGTACGAATGTTAATTTTGCCACGTAAAGAACGGAAATGACACGATTTCAAGTTCACGATCTTATTCGTATTCGGTTTAATTCTCGTCCTTACTGAAGCTGATGTTCTTGAGGTCGCCCGGATGAGCTGGATCGTACCGCAGAACGAGCTTGCCTATGACGTCGACGAAGATGACGGTGTTAGTGATGTCGTCCCAGTAGGGACTCTCCGACATGATTACGGGCTTGGTCACTGCTTTGATCTCGTAGCCATGTGCCACGCAGGAGAGGCTGAGGGAAGGAGTTGGAAAGGGAGGGGGATTAGAAGGGCCTTGATGGCGGAGGGACAGATGAATCATGGCACACGATAGCAACCCCTAGTCAATACTTAAACACACTTTCGACCTCTCCTCTCTGCCAGTAGTAGTTGGTCATGGGGATGCCCCCCCGCCCGCCTCTCGTTTAGTGGGCATCATTTTAGCCTCACCGAAAAAAAGTACGCAACCCCCTCAACCCCCTCCCTCAGCGGAATAAGTAAGCGGTCATCCAGAAAGTACGTCCGCCGCGTCATTCGCCGTCATCGTGAAAGAGCGAAGAGCAAGCTCCGATAGCGCCTGATAGGTAGGCAACGTCTTGTCTGCAATGCACGCGTGCTCTGCGGGGGTGCCTACCCTGCTCCTCGCAGGCGCCGAGCGCCCGTAATTTGCCGGATGAATATGAGAGAAATGACGTACTTTCTGGACGATCCCGATCCCTAATGCCACACGAAATATGCTGGAGCGGTCAGAACGACTGAGGGCATCCGTCAGGACTTACCCGAGCAGCGCGGCGAGGCAGGTGAGGTAGGCCGGTCCTTTGGCCATTGTGTCGCTTTGGTGCAAGTTGTTGACGCAAACTGAACCTCGAGGCGTGCCGCCCAACTACTTATACCTCTTATCGGCAAACCACGCTGCTTAGAGGGTTGTAAAATAAATTCGGTTTGTGCGCCGACGATCGTGTCCCGGCATGGCCACGGGCACTCGGGGGGCGGGGTGCTCGCGGCACATATCGGGCATGGTTCTCATTACCACGACCACAAAGCACTGGACTTGTGAAGGAGATTGATACATCAGAATATCTGATGCATGTTTTACACGTTCTTGGTACACGTCTTGTCGCACTTGAACTCTCTGGCCCTGGCAATATGTGCCTGGCCGCCCAGGCGCTGGTGGCAGCCTGGCGGGCGGCAACGTCCTAGGAATGGGCTGTGTGACGGCACTGCATACCGACACCTGCAGCAGGTCCTTTCCCATCAGCGAGCGCGCGTGCAGGGGGTGGCGGGGGGGGGGGGGTAGGTGGACGTGCGCACGAACTCCCAATTCAGAAATATGTTTATTTGATTTCGTAGAGCTTATTTAATGATCCCCACTTCGCGCTTCGTGCAGTTCATACACAGTCCACGGTACAAGGTATGGAGTGGCCCGTTTACGATTGCGCCCGCGTTCCTTCGGATCAGGACGCCCTTCTCTCAGGCCGTTGCGCTCTGATCATTGATTGTTTTATGATCCCGGATCACGAACCACTTGCCGTATCAAAGCAAGTTGTCGCTGCCCGAGTCAAAGGCGTAGCCGTACGAGAGAGAAAGAGTAAGGGGGGAGGGGGCATCACTCACCCATGGCGTACTGAGTTTTCTGAGTCGAAAACACCTTCAGCGGACTTTTTCGGACCTATCGGTACACTCTAAAAGCTTATGAACGTTTTTATTCATGGCTTACTGAGTTCTGTGTACGTGCTCTGCTTATGCATTTTTTAATACGCCGGTGTGAACAAATTTGTTCATACTAGCGTATTAAAAAAATGCGTATGCAGAGCACGTACACAGAACTCAGTAAGCTATGAATAACAATTTTCATAAGCTTTCAGTGTGTAGAACTTGTAAGATGCACACCCTAGAATTGCTTCACTAATAAACCAAGTATTCCACTGCTCAACACTTGCAAGTGTGCAACCGCAAGTTCAATACTTGCTAGTGTTCAATTCAGTAGCAGTACACTTACAAGTGTTCAACTCGGTATTTGTGCACTTATAAGGGTGCAACTCCTCTGTTGAACACTTACTTCACAGTAAGCACCCGATCAAGAGAAGTGTACAACAGGAGAGTTGAACACTTACAAGTGCACAAATACCGAGTTTAAAACTTGCAAGTGTACTACTACTGAATTGAACACTTGCAAGTATTGAACTTGTGGTTGCACACTTACAAGTGTTCAGCAGTTGAACACTTGGTTTATCAGTGACACTTCACTGTAATTTGAGGTTCTTAAATGTATACGCCAAAAGGCGTATGCTACAGGATCCCGAGCGACATTTGGCGTATACTTTTAAGACATCTTTTGTCGTACATCATGCGTACATATTCTAGACATCTTTGCCCATACCATTTCTGCGGCACAGCAGAGGCCCTTTGATGGATACACTCTGAAGGGCGCTCACGCCCTGTACACACCGTCACACCTGCATCCTCAAAACAGGGGATGTGCCGTGCGAGTAGTATGGGCAAAGATGTCTAGAATCATCTATACGCCGAAAGATGTCACAAAAGTATGGGCGGAATTTTGCTCGTGTTCCTGTAGCATACGCCTTTTGGCGTATATATTTGAGACACCCCCAAATTATAGTGTAGGGTAAGATGCCCTATGATGGCCACCTTAAGAATGGGCCTGCCCAATGATGGCCACCCCTTTTTCTTGTCATGTAGACAACGATGTGAAGTAGTTTGGTTTATTATGCCCAAGTAGGGACCTTACTAGAACACAACTTCAAGGCCAAGATTGTAAAGTGACCAGATTGGCTGGAAATCGAGAAAAGTGGCCATCAATGGACAGTGGCCACATTAGGGCACCTTACCCTAGTCTCTTTTGTCGTGGAACTGCCCAACTGCCGGTTACGGCGGTTCCTGGGGGCGATTAAAATCTTTTTTGGACCTTTCACTACTAAATGGTCACTTTGATTTGACACCCGGAGCTTTCAAAAGTTAAATAATGCCAAACAGAAACCTTATACTTTAAAGCCCGCTACACGCTGTTGGACATCTCAAAGGGAAGGCACTTCTACCATCGAATCCGATTCAATCATCGCCTTTTTCATTCGCGTACACCAAAAAGATTTGATAAAGCGGTAGTTCTTATAATGACATCATTTGGTTGTTGTGAGGAACACTTCACTAGAAACGCCTCTTGCTGTTGGATTTACTGTATGACGCCGGTGTTTATCGCCCGGCACGTGCCGTGCCTGGGATTGATTGACTCGATACAGGCGGATCAGCGAATGAGGTGAGAAACACCTTGTTGACTCTACTTACGGGTAAGGAGAGGGGGGGGGGGGCGCTAGGCACATCACCCCACCTCAGTAAATCAGTGAAACCATAAAAAAAAAGTGATGGTGATTGAGATGGGACCAAACTCAGATTGAAATAAAAAGTAGCGTGAATATCTTCCTGCTTTGATCAAGGCAAACTCGAACGAACCAAAGAAAATAAAAAGGAAATTGTACAATTTAGGCCGTGCAAAATATGGGCTTGGAAACGACACCTTTTAGAGTACAAATTGTTCTTCAAGGGAAACGTTTTTAGTTGAAGTTCAATAATGGTTAGGAGCATCCTAATGCCGTAGGCCTGGGCGCTGAGGGCGGGCCGCCAGCCCCACACAGCTGCTTAGCGGGCTGGCCTAACCAGCGCGTTGCAGGCGCTTTCATTGGCGCGCGCAGACTGCCGTCAGTACTTTAGGTTCTTGTTCGGTAACAGCTCTCATTCTGTAAGCGCCGTAAGTTGCCAAGAAAAGGCAAGTTCTGTTGGTCTATCCTTTTAAGAAGAAGCTCGGACGCTAGTCTCTAGACGCTAGTCGCTAGGCGGTGCGTAGCGAGCTAAGACGCTAGTCGCTAGGTGCTACATGGTCCCAATTTTTGCGGTGATTGGGGCAGAAATCACGCGCTAGCCTCTAGGGGCTACAAGGAAAATCGACTTGCCTGTGACTTCTTCCCCAACCACCGCAAAAATTGGGACCATGTATCACCTAGCGACTAGCGTCTTAGCTCGCTACCCACCGCCTCGCGACTAGCGCTTCTTCTTAAAAGCATTAGGACGATACAACTGTCATAAGGACAAAATGAGATGATCTTCCGGCCGCACGAAAAGAGAAGAAAGAAAAGTTTCTTGTATTTCAAGACTCGCGTTCTTAGATACAATTGGCGTCCTCCATAAGATCCAAGACCAGGCCTTGCAGTACAAGAAACTTTTTCCGTGGAGGTGTGCTGCTTTGGAGCCGAGTTCGGGCTTGAATCTACCGCCACCAAGGCAAGTGTGGGGTGAGGGCTCAGAGGGGGAGTCCAGCAGGCCCCGATCGAATTGCCCCTCGCGCCCCCACCTCTTTCTCCTGCCTCGCCCGTACCGGGGGGTCCCGCCGCACGACGGACGCGACCTCGACCTTCAGCTGCGCAGACAGCTGAGCGGAGCCCTCGGCAGCAGCACCTCCGCCAAGCTCCGCAGGGGCTTGCAGATGCCGCAGCTGCTGCACGAGCACACGAGCACGGCCAGGCTCCGTCCCACGCCGGTCTGCACTTGAACTTGACTGCACACCGTCCAGCCGGGTGTGGCACGAGGACTCGGGGTGGGGGCGGGGCCGCTAGCAGGGCAGGTGAGTAGCGAACGAACCTGTTTCTGTGATTTTACAAGGTGCGTTGAATCATTTCGCAAGCTACAGTGATCTTGCTGCGTGGCATTGATTGTTTCCTTTTCGGCGTCAATTTGACTATGACGTGTCTCGCCTGTTCGGGAAACAAGCCTACCTCTTTGTCTTTCTCTGTCCAACTCAATTTATCAGCTAGAATTAAACGAAACTCAGGGGATGCGAGGAGGGTTTTTGGTGAAATGGGCAAAGTAATGAGGGAACAACTCAAACATTTGTTTTCATCCAAAGAGCTGTGGAAATTGCTTTTCCGTCGATAATCACTGGTAGCCGTTTTCTTCTCATTTGTCACGGTCTCTTCGACCGCGCCGTGGCTCTGAAACGCCTCGCATCTCACTCACGCGGGCTGTCCTGCAGCTCTCCTGCCAGTGTCATGTTCCTCTCGCCCGCTGAGGCCCGCGACCCTACGACTCTGGACCCGCCACCCGCCACCCGAATCAGCTGATAGGAAGTGAGGTTGGCCGGGCTGGCCGCGCTGCTGGCCCCTGTGGTGACCCAGTGCTGCTGCTCGTTGGCCGCCCGGCCGCCAGAGGACGCCAGCGGCCGAGGACGGCGGGGAATCGATAAGCCGCGAGCCGGGCGCGGGGGATTCAAGGGAGCCCGGGGATCACCCACTCGTTGAAGGCAACGACAACAGAATAGCGAACTGAATGCCCCTATCGCTGACCACAAAGTGATAGGACGCAGGAGTCATATAGGGATTGTAAATCATTGTTGTTTGTGTGAGTTTAGAGTATGAACTTGCGCTCGGCTCATGCGTCGCTATTTTTGCTTCCTTTCCAGACTGCAGGAAGACGCGATCGTCATCTGGGCTCTATCGCCTTATATGCGGCCTGTCTACGTCACTTAGACGTCACCGCTCTTCTGCGGGGGTTAGCGACAACTACTGCCTGCCTCGGAGCGGTGTCGCTGGGAGCCCCCGTCGGCCTCACCCCGAGGTGGCCTCCTCCCCCGACGGAGCCCAGCACGGTGCCCCATGGTCGCAGCCCGCGGTCGAGTCACGCCCGGGGCTAAGGTGCCCTGACAGGGCCCTGGGGGGCTGCCCGGGGTTGCCCCCATGGCACCGAGAACGCGGCCTCGAGGAGCAGCGGAGGGTTCGGTGGACCTAGACTCTGCGCGATGTTGGGCCAGCCGGCAGCGCGGCGCAGCGCGACGCCACGCCGCGCCGCTGTGGGCATGGGCATGGTCGGCGTCCTATACTAGTCTAGTGCGACGCGTGTGAGGGAGCCAGCAGCGGCCGGGGTCGGGGCGGGGACAGCTGACGAGTGGAGCCGGGCCCCAGCCGGGGCCGCGGGCCGGGGCCGAGCCGGGGCCGGGCCGAGCCGGGCGGGCCTCGACAAGGCGGCGCCGGGCCCGGGCCGCCCGCAGCCGGCTCATTCACTGTGGCCGGGCAGCAGAGCGCCTCGCTAGCTCGCCGCCCCGAGGAGCAGGAGCAGGCCGCCGATCAGGCCGCCGACATGACGGGAGCCAACATGGGTGAAGTGGAGGCTGCGGCGACCAGGAACGGCGGCGGCGCCGTGACCGCGGCGTCGGCGGTGGCGTCGTGCCCGCCGGACGGCGGCGCGCGCGCGTGGATGGTGCTGGCCGCGTCCTTCCTCTGCAACGGCCTCCTGTTCGGCATCATCAACACGTACGGCGTCATCTACGTGTACCTGCTGATGGACCTGGAGAAGGCCAAGGTCCCTGACGCCGCATCTAAAGCATGTGAGTAACTATGTTTGTCAACCCGCAATTTCATTGCGTATTTTTTTGCAAGTGAGGTTTTCCACAAAGAAGGCAGCTGCACTGACCGCACTGACTGAGTGCCGAGCCGGACCGAGACGGGCGCTTTGTAATGCATTCCCATTATCCTTGCCTACTCGCGGAGGTGTATTTTCGTCACATTCACGAACAATGCATTAAGCTAAATTGGAGAGCAAGAAGATCGGGGCTGACAGCAGCAGGATGTGTCGCGCAGCGTCGTACGTGCGTAGTGCCGGCGCGTGTCTCGCCCCTCCTCGGGCTTTATTTCCGGTGCAGGGGGCCGGGGGGGCTGGGGGCGCCCGACGGAGACCCGCGGGCCCGCGAGCCCGCGCCCCGTACGGCCCTACGCGAGGCGCACTGTGGTGCAGTTTGTTGGCCCGCTGGCGTCAGCGGCGTCAGTCAGCGGCGTCAGTCAGCGGCGTCAGTCAGCGGCGTCAGCCAATGTCTGCACGATGGGATGGGTATGGGTACCTGCGATGGTCCGACTCGCCAACGACCACCGGGTCAGTCCTTGCTACTGACTTGCTTGTTTGTGTTGATCCAGCAAACTTTTCTCTTTCTGCCAAGTTGAAGTTTGCTCGTGCCGTTTCCCCGGCCTCCACCGATAAGTAGGTAAAGGCGGTGCGATAGCCTCCCCCTCCTCCCTCTCGACGGGACAGGGCGCTGGCGCTGGTGTGGGTGCGAAACCATCTTCCCCTCCTTCCAGGGCGTTTGTCGGCCCATGGCAAACAGTACACTCTCGCACTCTCGGGGAAGTCCAAAAGTGGCTACGTTCATCCACCATCCCCTCCCCGTCCCTGCTCTGAGGCGAATGAGGCCTTCCCTCCCTGCCAGTATGTGACACCACGGTTGTCACTCAGGTTATGTGCCTATAGGCACACCGTCACACCTGACATGGTTCGCCGTGGCGGGGCTGGCGGGGCGTTGTGGTGTCCTGCGGCTGCTACGCCTGTAAGGCGACACCGTGCACAACCGCCCTCGTCCCCCTCTCCTGCCCGCCCCTGGCCTGCCCTGCCCACAGGGCAAGAGCTCTACGCCACCCACCACCCCTCTGAAAACACGGGCAGGTTTCGGCTTCCGCGCCAAAATAAAGGACAAACATGTTTAGGTCATTAGCCCGAAAGCGTACTGCAAGAAATGATGAAAACAGCGCGCTAGAAATGTGGCCTAGAGCTACCTTTTTGCGTGGTCATGAAGGAGCCGTCAAGCGCGCCCCTTCCGAATGGCTCTGCAGTTCGGTTAAAAGATACCTTGCAGGTCTCGGTGCGCTGCGCCACGGCGGTGTTATTGGCCCTGGGCAAACTTTGTTATGTGTGTGTGTGTGTGCGTGGGAAAAGTTACGGGGACAATGAGCTGGTGTTTGCTTAGGGCGGCGGTCCGGTGGCGTCGGGGTGTCGCCTCGGGGTGGGGGCGGCGGCATTCGTTCTCCTGGTACACCCTACTGCCACGCCCCGCCCCGCCCCGCCCCGCGCTCAGCTGCTGCATCGTCTGGCATGTTCCATGCAGCTCTGTTATCACAGTGCCACGGTACTGTGGCCTCTCTGACAGCTGCAGGGCGGCCGCGTCCCCCTGTCGCGAGGCCCGGGGTAAACAGGCTGGCCCTGGGACCCCGGTAATGAAGGGTGGGTTGGGTGTCCCGCATGCGTGCGTTCGGGCTTGTCGCTCACCGTTGGCGCCTTATCGAGAATGGCCCCGAACGAGTAGGCAACCCACGGACGCGCCTATGTTGGCTGTACAGTAGTTGACCACCTCCTCCGCCAAAAAGATATGCTGCCTTTGGGACACCCTGTAGTCCTGTAGTGTAACGCGTGCCAACGTGTGGAAGCGTTGTTGGGGAATTTTCTCCGGGCGTGCATGGCGCCCCCAAGCCCACTCAGCATCCGTGGTGGTGTGATGCAGCGGGGTGTATAGCCATGACTTAGCGAGCAAGCAGACTCCTCACTTACATGTCTTGCCCCTGTATGTGTGTGTGTGTGTGTGTGTGTTCGCGCGCGCAGCCGTGTCTTTGACCCCCAACAGTGACAGCCCTGGTGGTTGCCTCCCAGCGTCCCACGTGCATGCACTGGCAGTCGTCCAGGACGTCTGCCCAGAGGTGGAGGTGGAGGGGGCATGACCACAGCGCCCGGACCGCTGCCTCCGGTGTCTCGCGTGTCTCGGCTGCGCAGGGTCCGCAGGGTCCGCAGGCCGCCTAGCCCCGCCCTGACCAACCCTACCGCAAATCCTCTCAGTGCACTCGATTCACATGGCCCTCTTTTCGTCTCTTGCTAGGCATTCGCTCTACAATCTGCTTTTGATTTATTTTTGAACAACTGGGAAGAATTCTGTGTTTTGAGGACAAACGGGTGACCCGGACCACCCGGACTGCGAGGCCAAACACCGAACACGGTGGCTAAGAGTAGAACGGAGAGTCGCGTTGCGCCCCGACGGGACGGGACGGCTTTGCTCCACCGACCTATAGATAGAAAGAGTACACAGAAGCTGGTGGCCATCTCTGTGTTTATCCGGTTTATCTCTGAGCGTGCCGCCGGCTGCACCCGCACCGTGGCGCGGGGCGGTGGTCAGCGCCTTGCCCTCCTTTCCTGATGAGCGTCCTGGAGGCTCTCGCGGGGCGCGGACATATCCGCGGTAGGTGAGGGTCTATGGGTATGGGTGAGGGTCGGCTTGGTCTTGGCGGCCGGGTGGTGGGGCAGCGACGAAGGGGAAGGGGATCATTGTGTGGTCCGGGGATTGCAGTTTTTCTCTGAGCGCTGGGTCACTGACGAGCCATTTCGATCGCAGGCCCATGCTCGGCGGAATTGTTATGGATGCGGGTGGATGCACATAGATGCCTCGGAGAATGACACGATTCTGAGCAGAATAAGGCTTTCCGTCCACCCCGGAGGTGGGGGGAATTTACTAGATGGTGAAGCTCCTGGATACGTACAGCCTTGGTAGCGTCCTAGCCGCGAACAGCGGCGTGGTGTGGCTCGAGGCGCAGGGCGGCCGGGCGGGGCGGGGCCCGCCGCGGTGGCGTGGCGCGGCGGCGGTCGCGGTCAGATCGGAGCGTATCAACGACGCGGCGCGCTGCGTCCCGCGCCGGCCCGCCGCGCCGGCCCGCGTCCCGCGCCGGCCCGCGTCCCGCGTCACTCGGGCCCAGTCAGGCCAATAATTGCCACCCCGACGCAGTGAGGAGGCCACGCTGGCCCGTCACGTGCGTGTGTTCTGCTTCTAAAGTGTGAATAGGTTTGTGCAACACGAGATGCAACGTGAAAGTCGAAAGTCGTAATAACGCTAGTATCAATAATCAATCCTAAGTAATAATAGCTTTTTCGTATTAAACATTTCAGCCTGATCTGTAGCGTAAGGATTGCCGTACGTAAATTGCGATGCGATTTCGATGCGCGATGGCGAGGCCCTCGAGTCTTGCGGAGAAAGTTTCGCCGGTCCGGTGGAATTTTTTGAAAGGCTTAAAAAATGGGCATCCTTCTGGCACCTGTCCGACTGCGGGGCTGCGCCGTGCTGTGCGGTGCTGCGCCGCCGCGTAGTCCAGGAGAGGCGTCTAATCTGTTGGCAGCCGCTGCCGGGGCACCGGAGCGTTTGTGGGCCGTGCCAGCACCCTACCCTCATGATGAGTTCTCCTCCAGAAGTCGCTGCAGAGATCCTCCCTTTCCTAGATAATGCGTTTTCTGCTCCCTCCCCACAACTCTGGGCAATCTGATCTTTGATCACGATCTGGACCCCGTCCCTCCTGCAGATGCCCCCCCCCC